GTCATCAATGGTACGAGAGCTAATGGCCGGGTTGTTGTCGGCTATGTCAAAAAACTCTCTCAAATAATTAGTCCGCGTGGTATTGAAGCTGGCGGGAGTATATACTACCGCTGTGTCGAGGAAGCCCACAAACAATTGGCCCGAAAGGCCAGTAGCCGTATCCGTTCCTTGCACGTAGGCAGGGGTTCTTTTCACATCGTACTTCCCGGTATAGGCATACTTAAAGTAATCGGAGCCGTAACGAGGGTCAAAATTTTCACCAAAAGTGCGGGTATAATCAACCTGAATGCTGTAGAATGCATTCTTAATCAAGCTAGTAGATCCCTTCTCATCCGGGAAGGTTTGCTGAAAGCGCGCAAATGCCTGCCAGTCAGAATCAATAGACTGCCCGTTGTTGTCAAAGTTGAAAAGGTGATTGCTGTAGCTCGGGTTTCTATCGTTACTATACACCCAACGGCCACCAAGTGAAACCTGCGTGGTGCGAGAAGTTTTAATTTGAACGTTACCGTTTAACCTGGCCGAGTTAGAAGCCGAGTTTGGTCTGCGGTAAATATTGCTAATGTCATCGTTGGTAACGTACTCACTGTTAAAGTTAATGGCATTGCCCGCGTCAGACACCCGAATTGGTGTTTGCTCAATGCTTCTCAACACCTCTGGATCTACCCTGAGGTAAGGTTGATCGGCAAAGGTTGGCCTGGGCTCTTCGGTATAGGCAAACTCCGAGCTAAACAAAAACCCTACAATGGTTTGATCCTTGTCGTTCTTATAAATAGGCCCACCAACAGTAAAGGCTCCCAGGTTGTAGTTTTGGCCGTCTATAATCGGCTCGTTATTGGAGTTCTCCAAAAACTTAAAGGGAAAGGAGGTGAGAATTTCTGCATTCCCAAACCAAACCCCCTGAGGTCCGCGTGTGGTGGTATTAATAACTCCACCAATCGCGTCACCATATTGTGCAGGCAAACCACCCGTAATTACCTCTGTTTGAGCAATGGCCGCCTGTGGCAAGTTCACGTTTCCACGAACTTTCACCCCATCAATAAAGTAAACCGTACCTTCAGAACGGGCACCCCTTACGTTGGTGTTTCCGTTGGCGTCAACCGTAACACCGGCCGCCTGAGCAGCCACCGAGGTTACAACACGTACCGCCATGTTCTGAATGTCTTCAGAGGTGGTAATTTTTGACGTTTTTGTTTTGTCGATAAGCGGGGGCTCATAACCTTTCACCACCACTTCGTCTAAAACGTCAGATTGCTGTTGCAATTTGAAGTTTTGAATGGTGGGTGAATTTGGCGATACAATAACCCCGGTAATTCTGGATTTTGCATACCCTACAAATGAAGCCTCTACGGTGTACGTACCTGGCTGTACAGGGTTAATGTTGTACTTTCCATCAAAATCAGCAGTTCCTCCACCTACCGTTTCTCCACCGTCATTTAAAACAACAATGTTAGCCGTAGGTAGGGTTTCCCCTGTTTTGGCATCTGTAACGGTCCCTCTCAAAGAACCCGGACGCTGCTGTGCATAAGTGAACGTAGCACTAAAAAATAGCAGCAGTGCAAGTAGTCTCTTTCCCATATTCATTATTGGTTTGCGATAAAATTCTCCCAAGAATTTTTAAAAGGCGGTAAATATAGTGTAAAAATGAGCGCTGCCACAATGGGGTAAACGCCTTACCTTAAAGCACTTTAAACTAAATTCTTGAAAATGAACCTCTTCTTGTTAACATTATTTTAAGATTTCTATTGGATTTGTTTCTCAAAGCTCCTTTAGAAGCCTGTATTCAATAAATTTGCTCAATTTTCGTTTGAAACTTCATCTATGAAGAAGGCCTTTAATTATTTGACCGTTCTATTTATTTTGGTTGCCTGTGCATGTGAAAAAAACAGGAATAGGGATTTTCCAAATATAGCATTTGAAGAGTTCATATACCTGAATAACCCGGGCAATATTGAACTGCAGCACGTAGGCGGAGCCACTTTTCACCAGGGCGGTTTTAAGGGCCTGATAATTTACAGGCGCTACAACAATGGAAGCGCAAATGATTTTGCCGGCTACGACCGCGGTTGCCCCGAGCATTACCGGGAAGACTGCAGTACACTTGAGTTTACCGATGACAAAACATTTGCCCGCTGCGAATGCCACGGTGAAAAGTATTTGCTTTTTGATGGCTCTCCAGCCGATGGCGCCACCATAAGCCTCATGGAGTACCGAACCACATTCAGCGGAAACGTAATTACCGTGCAGAATTGAGATTGAACCACACCGCTCCCTTCGATGATTTTGTGGGCCTCAAATAAAAAAAGCCGCCCCAGTATTGAGACGGCTTTCCAATGAAATTGGGGTTGAACCTCCTGGATTTAGTCGGCCAGAAGAATCAATTTATTGTTTTGAACCTCGGCCACTCCGCCACTGATTGGAAAGTGCAGAATGGTGTCGTTGCTCTTATCGCGTTCAATGGAGCCTTCCAACGTATCGAGTGATTTTGCGGAAGTACCCAGGTTGATTTTAACCGAACCCTTGGTAAGGGTGGAAATCATAGCCGCGTGGTTATCGAGTACCTGAAACAAACCATTTTTGCCCGGCAGCTGAACGGCCTCAACTTCACCGGTAAAAATCTTCTTCTCAGGGGTTATTATTTCTAATTGCATCTCAGTATTGCATTAAAATTTGAAAATGCGCCTGGGTTTTAGTCGCTCGCGATCAAACCCGGGCACCTGTCAAATTAATTTTCAGCAAGCATTTTCTCACCGGCCTCGCGCACTTCTTCAATTGTGCCTTTGAGGTTAAAAGCAGCTTCCGGATATTGATCCATTTCTCCATCAAGAATCATGTTAAATCCTTTAATGGTGTCTTCAATGCTTACAAATACTCCTGGTATACCGGTAAACTGTTCGGCCACATGGAATGGTTGAGACAAGAAACGCTGTACTCTACGTGCACGTGCTACAACTAATTTATCCTCTTCAGAAAGTTCGTCCATACCCAGGATGGCAATAATATCCTGAAGTTCTTTGTAGCGCTGCAAGATTTCTTTCACGCGCTGCGCACAATTGTAATGCTCATCGCCAATAATCTCTGGCGCCAGAATTCGTGACGTAGAATCCAGTGGATCTACCGCAGGGTAAATACCCAGTGCAGCAAGCTTACGGCTCAATACAGTAGTAGCGTCAAGGTGAGCAAAAGTTGTTGCCGGAGCCGGGTCAGTCAAGTCATCCGCAGGAACATAAACCGCCTGAACCGATGTAATTGAACCTGACTTGGTTGAAGTAATACGCTCTTGCATGGCACCCATCTCGGTAGCCAAAGTAGGCTGGTAACCTACCGCTGAAGGCATACGACCAAGAAGTGCCGATACCTCGGAACCCGCCTGGGTAAAGCGGAAAATATTGTCAACAAAGAATAGGATATCGCGGCCAGCGCCTTCGCTGTCTTTATCGCCATCGCGGTAGTATTCAGCTAAGGTAAGGCCTGAAAGCGCTACCCGTGCACGCGCCCCGGGAGGTTCGTTCATCTGACCGAAAACGAAAGAAGCCTTAGACTCCTTCATATCGTCTGCATTAACGGTGCTTAGGTCCCAACCGCCTTTCTCCATACTTTCTAAAAAGCCATCGCTGTATTTGATAATGCCTGATTCAAGCATTTCACGCAACAGGTCATTTCCTTCACGCGTACGCTCACCTACACCAGCAAATACCGATAGACCACCATGGCCCTTGGCGATGTTGTTGATCAACTCCTGGATCAATACGGTTTTACCTACACCAGCACCTCCAAACAAACCAATTTTACCTCCTTTGGAGTACGGTTCAATAAGGTCAATAACTTTAATACCGGTGTATAGAATTTCTGTTGAAGTAGATAGGTCTTCAAATTTTGGTGCCTCCCGGTGAATGGGCAAACCATTTTCGGTAGGGATATTTGGCAAGCCGTCAATTGCATCACCTATTACATTGAAAAGGCGACCACGAATCCCTTCGCCTACTGGCATTTTTATAGGGTTTCCGGTTGCCCGCACTTCCTGACCACGCTGCAGGCCATCGGTAGCGTCCATTGCAATTGTACGCACGGTGTCTTCACCAATGTGCTGCTGAGTTTCCAATACCAACCGCGAGCCATCAGGACGGGTTAGTTCTAGTGAATCGTAAATTTTGGGTAGCTCGTTATTGGTGGTGTCGAAGTAAACGTCAACTACGGGACCAATAATTTGAGCAATCTTGCCAACAACTTGAGACATTCTTCTGAAATTAAGTAGCTAGTAAATGCTATTTTTAAATTTGGCGCAAAATTACTGACATTTTACTAAACCTACATAGTGGAAAATGCTTTTTTAATTTTTCTACTTTTAAACATTGTACTAACAATCAACAAAGCAGCCTTTAAATACTGTTTTTCAACTTTTTAACCATTCACCTTGAAGGTATATTACTCTTTAAACGACTTTGAAGCCCTTTCAAAAGCGGTGGTAACCACTGGAACTTTTGACGGGGTACACCTCGGCCACCGAAAAATATTAGCGCAGCTCAACAAAGTGGCCGGCCGCATAAATGGCGAGAGTGTTTTGCTCACTTTTTTTCCGCACCCCCGCACCGTTATTCAGCCCGATTTGGATTTAAAGCTTATCAATTCGCAAAACGAGAAAATTGAGTTTTTAAAAGAAACCGGCTTAGAACACCTCATCATTCATCCCTTCACCAAAGAATTTAGCCGCACCACTTCCGTAGATTTTGTGCGCAATATTCTAGTAAATACCATTGGGGCTAAAAAGCTGGTAATTGGCTACGACCATCACTTTGGGCGCAACCGCGAAGGAAGCTTTGAGCACCTTAAAGAATATGGCCCGGTGTACGGCTTTGATGTGGAAGAAATTTCGGCACAAGACATTGACAACACCACCATAAGCAGCACCAAAATAAGAGAAGCCATTGAACGAGGNNCGGGAAAGGTGGTTGAAGGCGAAAAAATTGGCAAATCCATAGGTTTCCCCACGGCCAACCTTACGGTTGAAGACAATTATAAAATTATTCCCGCCAATGGAGTGTATGCCATAAAAGCGAAGTTGCCTGCTGAAAGCGATGTGGTGTGGGAAGGCATGTGCAACATTGGCATACGTCCCACTTTTGGGGGTAAGTTTCAAACCATTGAGGCCCATTTGTTTGATTTTGACCAGGATCTTTACGGCAGTCAACTGAGCCTGGAATTTATTCATCAGCTTAGGGAGGAGAGGAAATTCTCAAGTATTGAAGTTCTAAAAAAGCAGCTCATTGAGGATGAAAAACATGCGCGTAGAATATTGGCCGCTTATTAGCCTTCTTTTTTTGAGCTTTACCACTCTTGGGCAAAAGTTTAAAGACCTGGACAAAGCGCTTGAAAGCCCATTGCAGGTAGAAGAATTAATTCTTGAAGATGAAGATTTAGACAGTATTCCCGCACGGTTGCGTCAATTTGTAAACCTCAAACATTTAAACCTCAGCGAAAACAGATTACGTACTCTGCCCGAATGGATATCAGAGCTAAAAAAGCTGGAAACTATAATTCTAGACGAAAATGAATTTAGTAGCCTGCCCCTGCAGCTGGCCGGCTTGCCGCGGCTGCATACGCTCAAACTAGCCGAAAATCCCATGGAGGAGTTGGGGCCCGAGATTTTAAAATTCCCCAACCTACGGCATTTAGATTTATGGAAAAGTGATATCCGCAGGGTGCATAAAGCGCTTGGCCAAACGACCAGTCTACAATATCTTGATCTGCGACAAACCTACATTGGAACCAATGATTTGGCCTGGCTCATTAAAGCGCGGCCCGACATTGACATAAAATCTACCTACGGCTGCAACTGCAATTAATTTTTATAGCCAAAGCGTTTAAGCTCCTGTTCGCTGCTGCGCCAGTCTTTGCGCACTTTTACGTGTAAATCCAAGAATATTTTTTTGGCGAAAAAGCGCTCCATTTTTTTGCGGGCATTGGTGCCCACTTTTTTTATCATCTTACCACCTGCGCCTACTATAATTCCCTTCTGAGAATTGCGCTCGGTGTAAATCTCAGCCCTAATCCTAATAATGTTTTCCTCTTCTTTAAACTCTTCTACCCTCACCTCTACTGCGTACGGTATTTCTTTTGAGTAGTTCAGTAAAATTTGTTCGCGAATCATTTCCTCCACAAAAAAACGCTCGTTGCGATCGCTTAAATGTTCTTTGTCAAAAAAGGGTTCCGATTCGGGCAGTAACGATACAATTCTTTTCAATAAAACATCAACGTTGGCCTTGTGCTGCGCTGATATTGGATAAATTTCGGCCTTTGGAAATTCTGCCGACCAATACTCCACAATTTCGTTTAGTTTTTCCTGGCTTGACAAATCCATCTTATTAATTACCAGTAGCATGGGGAAACTCATCAGCTTGAGCTTTTCGTAGAGTTCCGGGTCTTTTAATTGTTTCTCACCCGGCTCTACCATATATATTATAATGTCGGTATCATCAAAAGTAGAGCGTACAAACTCCATCATGCTTTCCTGCAAGGCATAGGCCGGCTGTATTACCCCCGGTGTATCTGAAAATACAATTTGGTAATCGTCATCGTTTAAGATGCCCAATATTCGGTGGCGGGTGGTTTGCGCCTTAGGCGTAGCAATAGACAGCTGCTCGCCCAAAAGAGCATTCATTAGTGTTGATTTCCCTACGTTGGGATTGCCTATAATATTTACGTAACCGGCTTTATGGCTCATTTTTTCGGGAAAATTTTGATGGTAATTCCTTTCTGCAAAAGTCCAACTATTTGCGAGAACTTTTCTGCCTCCTCGCCTTTCATTAATATTTCTTCCAACGTGAAGCTTAGTTCTATCAAATACTCTTTTTCGTTAATTCTCGTGGTATTTATGCGCAAAGCATAAGCTCCCGGCTCGTTATACAAAACGCTGTGTTCGGTGTCAATCGCAAAGGCTCTATCGGCAAAAAGCCTGAAATTCATTGTTGCCCGGTACGGGCTTGGAAATACAAAGCATTTGGCGCTTGGCTCTGCGGTTATCGCCAGGGCTTTTTCCAAACTCAAATGGTAAACCATGGTATCCCTTGGCTGGCGCAATTGCTCGGTTTTAAAATTCAACCGCTCCCTGTTATTCACCGCATTGTTCGCAACCTGCCAATTTGTGGCCGACAATACATCTCTGGCCGTATCGTTCTGCAAATAAGCGTGATAGATTCTATTCTGGAAGTTGCCCTCCAGATAATAACGCTTGGTAGAACGGAGCCAGTTAAATTTAAAACTCAACTGTATGTCTTCCCAGTACTGGAAACCGTTGTTCTGTGTATTGAACGCAGGCAGCTTTTCCACCGCATATGATTGGGTAGCCGGGTCAAAAAACACGGCCGTTCCCGCACTAAAATCAGCTGGGAGCGTATTTAAAGAATAGTAATTCCCCAAATATGGGCCCACCAAAATTATATTGCGCGCACCATCCAATTCATAAGCCACCGCCAGCGCCCCCACCTGCCGTGCACTGATCAGGCTGTCTAAAAAAGGGCCCTGGGTGGGCGCTTTCAACAATACGGGATAGTATTTCCTTCCGCGCAAGCGAAGAAAATCAGTGTAAAACTTGCTTATTGTACCGTGGTCGTAAAATGCATAAGGCGGTTGCTTTAAGTCCTGCAAACCACTGTTCACATACGCCTTCAGAGCCTCCTCAATAAGCCGCAAACCCAGTTGATCGCTGAGCAGGGTAGAATCGGCCAAAGCCTTCACCCACTCTTGCAAAGCCACCAATGGTGCGGCATAATCCTTTCCCAGGCGATAGCGACCCCATGCCTGACGAAAATTTTCATGCAACTCCTCATCTCTTGTGTGGTAGCGCTTTGGCGGAAGGTAGCTTGTGCCGGAGTGAATGTTTTGGCCCAGGTAGCGCGCCTCACTGTTCAAGTATATGTTCAGGTTTTTAACCGCACCGTCAAAGAATAAATAGGGTAAAAAATCGGTCCAAGTTTTTATTCGATCCCGATCATAGCGTTGAATTAAGTCTTTCCACTCCAGCGCTACGAACGGCCGCGAAGTATCGGCATAAAAAGCTCCCGATTTGGGAGGCAGAGCGGCAGTATTTTCAGCACTAAAAGTATATACCAGTTCATCGTAATTGCGCTCTTCTGTAGCAGCTACCTGAGGGTGTTTCACGTACTGCAGGGGGTCAGACGAAATTATCCTAATTTGTTGCTCAGAATGCTGCCAGCGCAAGCTATCTTGAAATTCAAGCCAATAGGGCAGGTGCACACCTTGCGCCTTATAAAAAATTTCCACCACCACCTCCGGCTCCAAATCCGAAAGACTAAGAGTAAAGCCCTTATTCCTTCCGTTGCGGATATCCTGCACGGAGTCGCTAATTTGCGTATGAATACTTTTGGGTTTTGCCTCATATATAATCAGCCCGTCTTTCCACACCCGATAGTCTAAATGGGTGAGAAAAGCCTCCGATGGATAGCGTATCTCTATCTTTTGAAAAGCCTCTACATCGCTTTTGTCACCCAACTGGATTAAGCGATATGCCTGGAAAAGCTCACCCGTATGACCGCTTCCTGTTGGGAAAAATTTAAAGGTGTTCTTCCTAATAAGTCCTTTCTGTCCTTGCAAGCTGTGGTTGTAGCGCTGCCGAACCACGGGTAATTCACTTTCCCAATCTGCCCCTTTAAAACACCGCTTTTGCCCTGAAGCAGTAACACTTGCAAGAACTGCGCAGAAGAGAAATGAAATAGTAATACGATTCATACGGGCATTTGCAGCAATTTAATTAAAAAGGCA